CCACCACCCAGTAGAATTAGCCTCACTATGCCAGTCATTAATAACGCTCGCATGTGTGTGTTTATTGTCACTGGTGCTAGCAAGGCTGAGATCGTTAAAGTAATTACCAAATTTTTCCTGTAAATTAATCATTTAAATTCTTAAATTTAAAATATATTTAGAAAATCAACATAATTAGTTATAATATTTCTAATTGAGCAATTAAACAATTTTTCACTTTTTTTAATAGCTAAAACTTTAAAAATGTGATTTTTCGAAGGTATTCAATTAAATTCAGAAAAATAAACAGTAAAGAAAATTGAAAGATAATAAATCAAACTATAATTAGAACGTTTAAGAATTTGTGCCACTTTTTTGATCAGTTAATTCTTTAACAATTAGATTTTTTATATTCCATTTACTTTTGCTTTACTTTATATTTACTCCTGCAATTAAAATATATATATTAAAATATATAATTAATATTACAGAGAGAACTGCGCATAGAACACAAGTGAAAGGAAATTAAAAAAAACTAAAGGTTTGATTGTATTTAAATTATTAATGTTATTGTTTACAGAGAATCTTGAGAGATAAGGAAGATTTACCAGCTACCAGAGTGGAACCAGTTGATGGTACTCTTTTTTGGCTGCTCGATCAAGAAGCGGGCAGGCTACTCAACTCAGACTGAAAAATGCGAGGTGGGATTAAATAAGACTATTACTATTCAAAATTTACATAGATTTTATGACATTCCATACTATGATTATCTTGTAACTACTTTTTCTTTAAATCTTTCTTCAGATCTATATTTTAACGCATTTTTTTTCATTACAATTTACTGTTAAAGTCGATAAAATATTTGAGTAAGTGTTATATGCTCGTACCAAAGGTGCGAAAAAGACTCGTGAGAAAATTGAAAATTCAATTTTCGACTGATATTGCTCAACAATGTCGTTTATATAAAAAATAATGTGCAAACTTTGTTATCATGAACCAACTTGCATATTGTAAAAAGACTATTTAATAAGAAAGTAATAAAAATTTTGCATCTTCAAGAAAATATATGATTTAATAACAAGAAAACAAAAATTAAAAGAAGTAATTTAATTTCCTTAATCTTCACAGAGAAGAAAATATATAAAAAATAGAATGTAATTTAACTTTTTATTATAAATATTTAGAAATATCATTTTTTATAATTTATTATATAATAATTTTTTGGAGAGAGAGAGAGAGAGGAAAGAGAGGGGGATAAAAAATTTAATTTGTTTCTATTTTTACAAACTTTGGATTGCAATATAGAGCGGGTTTAAATTCTAGTTTATTAGGGCTACCGCAGACAAAATTCCGTAACAGTATGCGTAAGGTGTAAACTTCAGTCGATTAAGCCAATCAGGATATTGCGTTAGATCTACGGATCTAATTTGACGGAAATAGAAATAGCAATAAACTTATCCCTAAAGCAAATTTCAACCGGTTGAAATTTATCTTATGGATAAGTTTATGTGTGCTATTTCTATTTCCGTCAGATTACGTAGATCTAAAGCAGTATCCTGATTGGCTCATCAGCTTAAGTTCACGTCTTTGGTCAAGGTTACTGTTACAAAAATTTTGTCTGCGGTAGTCCTTAATCTCCATTCTTGTCCGAGTTAATTTCTGTTATCTTTTCTTCTTTCTTCTATCTTGGAGGAAATCTTTTAAATCAATTCATTTTCCTTCATTTTTAGTACATACATAATAATCCTTCCTTTCAAATAAAAATTGTTTTAAAAATCTTTTTTTTTTATTTTTTGTATTTTTATCTTTGTTATCGTAAGATTTATTAAGTTTATAAGAATATTAAGTAGCAGTTTAACAACAATATTTTCTTCCGCAGATATATGCAGAAAAAAATTATACAAATAGACATATCTATTGTTCGTAATCTTTTGTGATATATGTGTAATAAAACTAAGAAAAATGTTTTTTAAGTAAAGCGAAATATTGATATTCATAACTATCATTCGAAATATATATAATGTTTTATTAATGAACGGTATAATTAGTGTAATTTAATGAATGATACATTAATGTAAAAAAGAAGGAAGATTTTGAATACAGATTCTAAGATTAAATTGTCATTAAAGTTATTGTTTTAGATTGTTAAATCAAGTTATTTTTATAATTATTTAATTAACTTAAATCTGATTATAAATTTATAATTTATATTTTCAAATTATTTTTTATTATTTTAGCCTGTGATTTTATATTTAATTTTCCATATACAAGATTCGTCAATAATTTATACAGTTGCGACAGCAATTATACGTTATTGAATTGGAATGGAATCCCCTTTTATGTAATATTCATGTGAAATGCTTTATGTGATTTACAACATCTATCTTCGTTATGAGTTAGTTTTGTGTGTGTGTTATTTATATTTATGAATTTTTGTTAAAATTATTCATACAGATTTTGTATGAGGCTCTAACTAAAGAAGGTGAACATGATTTTTAAGGATTTTGAAAGTGAATAATAATTAAAGATTGATGCACACGATATTTTTTACTGTTAAAGATTGATGTACACGATATTCTTTACTGTTTTGATACATTCAGTTCTACCTTTCACTTTATTGCAAATTTCTGTTGTTCGAATAAACGATAATAATAATAGAATAATTTTATAACTAAGTAATAATAACTATATTTATACTAATTCCTTTTTTAAGACATCCGCGATATAATAACATGCAAAAATGTGCATGCGTGTATCGTATTAATTTGCACGATTAATAATAAATAGCATTTAATACATACATTTTATTTATGTGTGTATATATATATATATGTATATACATATATGTACACACACGCGCACGCGCACACACACACACACAGAGGGTGTTCAACGTAACAGTCTGCACGATTTTTTAGACACTTTTGACAGTTAAAAGAAAAAGTTAAAAGATAAATATTCATTTGTTTCATGTAGATTACAACATGCGATAAAAAATTGTTTTTTAATAGAAAAAAATCGAGGTTTTGAATTTTTTAAATATCGTACAATTTTTTTCCATAATATATTGCAGGAGTCTTCGAGACGAATTCAACGCACTATCGAGAATGTCACCTTTGTTGATGTTTTATTGATTTTATAAACATAAACATATAATATGCATCATAAATATTATTTATATATAATAATAAAGAGAGACTTTGTAACTCATATGAATAAATTTTGATTTCTAAAATCAAGTAGCAACCAATTTTATTAATTTAAAACTTATGTAAGCAAATTGCTTGTTTCCTTCTGCAACACAAAATTCCGCTCTTCTTAATAAATTATTGTGCGTAGCAGTTAAAAATGATTTTCGATAGTGCGTTAAAAAGATATAGAATAATTTTAGTGAGATATAGAAATCAATAGTTTTAATAGCCTATACAGTTATATTTTTTAATACATTTAGTAATACATTTTCAAAACTAATGTTATAAAGTTCGTATTTGTAAATAAATATTGTATAATTGGAATTGTTTAACAGTTTAAACATTCAAATAATGAATTTTTTATGCGATACAGCGACTGCAGCTTATCCAGTCGCGGTGCGTTATCACGATTACGGCGTATACATATATATATATTTAGCACGCTGATGTTCCCAGCGCCACGGTGACATTCCGTAGCCATCGGAACTATAGGAGTGTCAGGGGACTGGTTTAAGCCGACGACACACAATGCTTGTTTTCCTGCTGGATTGCTAACTGGATTAGAATCTTGCCACCGTATTTGCTGTGATTCTGGCACTGTCAGTACCGCAGTCAATACGATGGCAAGATTCTAACTCAGTTAGCAATACAACAGGAAAACGTCATGTCCCGCCAACTTTAGTGATGGTCTTAAATAATTTTTTATTAATTTCAATTTACTAAAACTTTTCACATGAAGCTACTGTACCGGAATAGTTAAAAATATTCTTGCCGCTATCTCTAAGTTTGGATATGATTTGGTTAAAGAATAATCATGAATTTGTTTTAAAACGTCTAAAATAAAAACTGATTTCATATTTGTAGCATATCAAGTGGACCATAAACTAAAATCACCATTAGTAACAAATTAAAATATGTAGGAAACTATATTGCCATTTTTGTGCTCCATCGCATTTTTTATGAGACAAATGTCTCGCTCGCCATACCTTTGTCCCATCTCTGTCATGACATTATTTGATACATAAAAATAAACTTAAAAATAAATTTATAACAAATAAGGCCTTTATGATATTATTATGACTTCTGGTTCTATTTGGGACTGTATGATAACAAGATATATGTACTTAAGACGATATCCAAAGAAGGCTTATTCAAACTTCGGAATTTCCGCCAATTATACGAACATTGTCTGAAGAGTATTGTTTCTACGGGATTACTTTGAAGGACAATAAAGGTTTATATATTAATTAAGTGATGTTTATTTTATCATAACATTCACCGAACTTTATTACCACACCACGTATACATACATTATGTGTATACAAGTCCCGTAAAAACCATAACAACTCTTAAAGATTCTTGAAATCATTTAAAGACGAAAATAGTTATTGCGAAAAATATTTACTTCAGCCGATTCGAACTTGGTTCTCTTGAAAGCATAGTTTGCTTAAATTAAAAATTGTATAAATTTACAAGAAGCATTATTAGGTACGAAAAATCGCCTTGATCAAAAGAGTTTTCCATTTACGCGTGTTTAATTAATTAAAATTGAAATTCATATGCACAATTAATTGTATAATTTTATAGTTATTAATTTATGCAATTTATAAAAATCAATTATGTATGTACATTATAATAAGTGTTCGAATTATGCATTTTTCATATCTGTACACAATCTTATTGCGCACAATAAATTTTATTGCGTATTATTTCTGAAGATAAGCTCGTAATTGTATCGACAATGTGATTATATAACATTTAAATATAATGTATTATCATAGCAATTACAAACATATCTCTCGAAATAATACGAAATAATAATGCGCAACAAAATTTGAACAGAATTGTTATAATGCACATAATTGAATTTATAAACTGTGTGTGTATGTGTGTGTGTGCGTGTGTGTAAATTAGTAACTTTAAAATTGCACCATCAATTGTATACAATTTTAATTTTAATTAGTAAAAATTAAATTAACATGAATTATAATTAATAAGTCATGTTTCATTCGAGCTGCGATCAACATGCGTTTTTTAACTTAATACTCTTAATGATAATAAATTTTAATTGGTTTTGATCCAATGTCGAGACGAATTCCTTCTATGTGTCTTTGGATTACAATATCAAATCTGTTGATCTGATGGTGATTTTTCTTGGACATGAAGGGATTGATATTTTGTAATTGTATTGCTGAGGATGATTCCAAAGTGAACTGAAACGTACTATTTTTTGGAATAAAGATTCTATTTTCTGAAATAAAGATTTAAGATTGCGTATTAACTACCACGCTGACTCATTCGCCCTGATTTTTTTGGATTTTTTGTTATAATTATTAATTTGCTAATATTCATAAATTTCTAGTTTCTCCATATTATTTTAATAAAATGTTGAGCATAGACTTGAATGAATTTTACTTAAATATTAGCAATAGTAGCTATTATTCTGTCAAATAATTGTAAGTACATACCATTTACTATTGGTCTGTTTTCAGTTCTTGCACTAGACTGCACTTAGAACTCTCTTTCTCGCTTTCGACAAACATCAAAATCTATATCTATCTCACTTTAAGTTCCAAAAGTGTACACTAGTTCAACCATAGAAAACAGACTTTATGTGTGTGTACCAGGTTTTCTGGATTATTTGGTTAAATCATTTAACATAAGCTTGAATAAATTCTATTTGAATATGAGCAATAGTAGCTGCTTATTTTGAGATAATTATAAGATAGATACATATCATCTTTGCTACCTACGTACTATTTGATAACTATAATTTTACGTATAAAATGTGGAATTGATCTTAAAGAAATATTATTTGACAGCTTGCGCTTTATATATCATATAAAAATAAAAAAATTTATTATAAAAAAAGAAATTCCACAATGCGTTTGTAGAAATATCAATAATCTTATCTTCGCTTATATAATCTTTATGTCGATATTAAAACACAAAAGGGAACGACAAAGTCTAGCTTTCGCCTCTTTAACACTTTGCTATCATACCTAACATACGAACTTTAGGAGATTTGTTAACTTTAAATGCTTATAATTCAAAAAACTATTATAGCCTCAACATTTTCGTATTAGAATTTTCATCTCAAAATGATCTCAGAAATCTACCTTTAAGGTTTGTTACGATCTTTGTAAGATATCCTTTATATACAGAGCATAACCAAAACAAATCGAACTTCGAGGTTTCCATATCAAATATGGAAAAATCACATAAATATTTATCTGTAAACCCACTGTTATAGAGATACCTACAGTTTAAAATGTATTAGAATCCGGACGTTCGTGTAGTTTTCCGTATCAGGCACCATAGATTTTTATCTATGGACATTTAAAGTCCTTAGTTTAAAAGTTCAAATCGACAACGAAGATATGCTACTCCAACACAATCTTTGCTGCTTGTGAAATCATTCGCCTCAGGATCTTTGAAAGAGTACGACAGTTTATGGTTCAATATATCTATGCATATATTGAATCAAGGGGAGACACTTTATTGTAATTAAAAATATGTAATTGAAAATAAATAATATTACATAATAATAATTACCTTTTTCATTTTCCATTAATAAACATTTGTTTCAGCTATATCTCAGTAGCAGTGGATTTGCGGATATACTTACAAACATTATTTATATGAACTTTTTTATATTTGATGTGGAAAGCTCGTTTGCGTGTCCCCTTATATTTGTTACACTGTGTGTTGTGTATGCGCGCGCGCGCATATTTATATATAATAATATTTATTATTATTTAATATTATTTATTTTCAATTTTACATACATACATATATATATGTGTATATAAAATGTGTTTTAATATCACATATGGACACACACACACATATATATATATATATATATATATAAATTAACATTTACACTTTTGCTATAAAAAAATTTCAATCACGTCCGATTTAATAACTCATTCACGATAAATATTATTATCTTCCAAAATAATAATAAAGTGAAAAAAGTAAAAATTTAGGAAAATCTTCACCGAATTAGCTTATTAAGAAAATTAACTTCTAATAGAAATTTCAATTTGAAAGAAAATTGCTTACCGAAAATTTTTGTATTATATCTTTATAATATTCTTTTATGTCCCGGATTACCTATCAATTTGAATTAAATGAGGTATCTCAAAACATAAGACGACATTTAGAATGAAGTTTCGTACACAGTTTAGCGTTATTGTTATCACGTTATTTCTAAAGATTGATGTATTTATCATGTATGAGTCATCACTATTTTCTAATATTCATCGATAAACAATGTGTGTCTGACTGTACATGTTTATAATACATGTAAATACATAATATACATAGTTTGTAAATTTGTAAAACTCTAAGGGAATGAATCATAGTAACCGGAATATATGATAGTAAATTGCAACGGCCGATGAAATCGAGTTCATGTATATACGAAGTACATACATAACAAGGTTGAGATGAAAATCAAGCAACGCATGATTCACAACAAGATAGTAATTATTATCGCCAAGTTATGCTAAAAGCTTGATTCACCGAAAAACTTTTTTTTATTTTAATAAAGCCTTAATAAAAGTCTAGGAAAAATAATACACGTTTATATAACAAATATTGAAATATATTTCTTTATACGTATATAGGAAAAAATAAGTAAATAAAGAGATCTAAACTAATAAGTAATAAGTAGCAAGAGAACTCTAAATAAGAATGTCGTACTGAATGCTATTGTACATGCATGCGCATGGTCGTGTTTCTTTTCCAGTTATTTTTCTTCAACATTTAATTTTCTTTTATTTATGGAAAATATTTAGTTGAATTTAATAAAAATGATATAGAATAAAAACATGTGAAGTTAGTTTTCATTATCGTATTAAAAATATTTTTTTTGATTGAAGTAAGAATTTTAATTTTATTTCTTTAGAAAAATCTTGTACTTTATATAGAATATAATAAAATCATTAAAAAAATATAAATAAAGAATATAATACATTATAAAAAAAACATATTATATTACAAATATAAGGTTTTATTCCATTCGCTAAGAAATTAGTATTTTCTTGCCGAATTTTAATCAGTTACTTTTATTATAATTTTGTTTATTATGTGAATTTATTAAAATTAAAAAAATATGGAATTACATTTATAAAAAGACCAACAAATTCACAAAAATGTTATTCTATAATAAAAGTACATAAAAATTATTTATTTCGTACAAAATACTTTGTGTTTCAGTGGATCAAGTTACTTTACATATTTTTATGGAGCAATAATCTTGTAATTTACAAAGTGTTGTGTTGATAAATCATGCGAAAAAGTTTACAGTCATATACATATCACAGTGTCAATGTATAACTCGATTCTCCAACCTCTTAATTAAAACCTTTAGGTCGATATTAAATCACTTTTACATATCATAACAAAGCATATTTCTATTAGTACGTTCTAGTCAGAATCTAAACCCATAATTTTTTATTTCTGAAATAATTTTGTAATATGCAAAAACAAAATCATTTAATTAATCAATAATCACACAAACGTTATATGATTACTGTTATATATTTTTTTTAAGTTACAATAAAAAAATTTTTTTTTTTAAGATTTTTTATACAGGATAAGTTATAATTATAAATAATAAACCATTATAATATGATTTATATAACATGCAAATTCTTTACTGAATATTGATGCTGACTTGAACGTTTCCACTGATACGTTTTTACACTAAATAATAATCAAGAATTAGCTTTTCCTCCTTTGATAGCTGTTCACTCAAAACTTGCTCGTAATTGTTTAAAAAAAACTATACATAATACTTTTCTTACACGCAAGACATTCTTTGTACTGTATTTACTCGCCGAAATAAAGCATCATTGCGTTATAATAATGATAATCTATACAATAGCAATTCCTAGAAAATTAATAATTATAATATTTTGATTCGTACTATTTTTTCTAATTTATTAATATTAAAAATATATTAAAATCTTAATAAATTATTTAAAAAAACTGTGTGATAGAACGCTCGATTAATCGAAGAAGTTTCTCCTATTAGCGATAACAATAAATAACACTGCTATTTTCTTTCTTCTTTATTCGCCTTTTTCTTCTTTGAGAAAAGACGAACAAACGCGTTTTACCGCCAAACGATCATTCGCCATGTCGATTACTTATGAGTAAAGTGAGAGAGGAAAAAGAGAGAAAGAGAGAGAGAATAAGTTAGTTAATTGAATTAATCAGTCACCTAGCGTTCATGTTCATCACGTCATATTGACGCCCAACGCCTGCCGGAAATGCTCATACACTACATAGCTAATAGATACGGCAGGTGCAACCTGTGAAGAAATATTAATTTTTATATTTAGCAACAATCAAACTGTATATGAGAATTTACATAAAAATTTTTAATCTTTAATTCATTGTTATTATTATTATTATTATATCCATACATAAGTTAAGAAACAATTAATTTAACTAAGCTGTAATATTTATATAAAGTTTGACAATAAATCAAACAAATTTCTATAAATTTTTTTGTAGAAATCCTGTAAAAATTCTTAAAAGTCGATATAATTTATTTGCGTACCTTAAGAAAATTAGGCGTGAGACCGCGATATAGACCACGTATTCCTTCGCGATTAAGGATGTCTTTGAAGACGCCAATCATAGTATTGGGCGAGCGATCGGGTGCAATCTCGGCCTGCAGTCGCGTCCGCACTAACGCTAGCGGATACGAGCATACTTGGCCGGCCGTGCTCGACGCAGTGCCGCACAACAATAGAATCCAAAATGCTGGCTGTTCCTTCTTATCATGCGTACGTAAATAAGTATTTTTCAGCGTCTGTAAACATATCTCCCTTTCAAATGACCATCGAGAACAATTGCCGAGAAAACTTGTAGTTTTTATCTCGACTACTCAAGTTATATATTCAATTGTATACAATAAATTAATTTCATATAAAAATTACATTATTGTAGAGGAAAAGATGGATCTCTATTTTATAATTTTGTGTAATTTTTTAATTTTTATTCACATCAATAATATTGCATACGATAATTTATTAATCTAATTTAATATACGAAACACGTGTGTGAAATGATTTAAGATAGTTAACAAACTGGGAAATGTGTGTTTAAACGAAAAGAGACATTTTGATGCGACTATCTGAATATAATAATCAAATTGTGTGTGTGAGGGTCCCTATATTTTTCTCCCTATATTTTTACAGAATCTGGTTTCTTCAGATTTATGTGAATTTTCTATGAAATCCAAATAGCTCGAATTCATAGAAATTCTAGATATATCGAGATATTCATAGAATTTACAAAAAATTCTGAATGTATCGAGATGTATCAGATCAGAAGTTTCTCACGAGTACACAATGAACGTTTATCACGAGTACCTTTTTCCTGTTTCTCAAATACAGTAACACAAGTAAGTAAACATAAATGATAAATGTTTGAATAGATTTTTCTAAAAATTTTAAAAAGCGAATGTACTTTTACAATAAACGTTCATTCACTTTTTAAGATTCTTATTCACGTAGTATAATTTCGTTGCGACGCGTCAGAATTTGCCTGATACGTGCAATTAGCAGCGAATGATTTGCGTAGATAGTATAATACAGTTTTACCCTCACTTAATAATGTGAACGTATCTTGAGTCAGATAAAAAGAAATCTGATGATGAAATATTCACTATTATCCAAGGTTGGCAAATAACATGTTACTAGTAATGTCGTTACTGTTACAATTACTTTTTTTTGTATAACGAATGAATAACGGTATTATATTTCCTTATGAGTAACGTTAATTGGTAACGTAGTTACATTTATTGGGTAACGGTGAAGATTGGACTCGTTATTTTTATCGTTATTTTATTTCTAGCGTATAGATTGTAGAGTGTTAGAAAACGGATAGTTTCTGCAAACAGAATGTAGGAATTTAACTTGATTAAATGCTTCTTTTCAATCACTTTTTCGTGTTAATCTTAAAAAAATATCCAAATGTCAAAAGTGCAATATTAAATATATTCGATAAAAGCTCACTTTTGTAATTTCTGTAAGTACTATGTTCAAATAAATCCGATATAACAGTGTTAATAGAGAAATTCGTAAATAATACATGAAAAACAAGAAGGTCATTGTCCTGTTATCATAATATTGCCTGTTATCATTACTAGGGTTTGAATTCATAGTTTCTCAAATCTAATACGTCATCTACAGTACACGAAGTAAGAAGTAAGAGTAAGAAATTGACCAATCAGTCGATCTTCTCACATTCGACTGTGATTGATCAATTTCTTATGCTTATTTCTTATTCCATATATTGTAGACGACGCATTAGTCTAGTATCTAATCTCAAATCTTCAGATTTCAGATCTCGAATCTCAAATCTGAAATTTCAGTATTAGTGGCTAATCATCAAAGTCTGTTAAAACGTACGAAAGAAATTTACTTATTTAAAAGAAATATTGAATCAATATGATTGAAACAATTATATTTGAATTCAATCAAGAGAAAGATAATTGTTAACAAGAACTTAACGGAACTTAACGTATTGCTCTGAATGCAATATCAAACATTTGAATTATTTAATTAAAATCTATTATTAGTGCTAATCATATAAATAATTAATGAAACATTTACATATAATCATTTTATGTAAATATTAGCTTATTCTAAGCTTATCTGTAACGGTTTTATATCGTTGTTGCAAGGCCTTACAACCACACACGTAAGGCCTTGCAACCACACACGTTTGATACAAATTATCACTTTTCTAACAAATTCAGTTATTCGTGATTGTTTCTTTCATGACTAAGCGAAATCTGCGAAATAAAGCGTGAAATAAAAATATTAGTGCTGCAAAAGTATTTATTTGTGATTCGAAATTATCCTTGATTATTGTCTTATCTTCTCGATATTGTGTCGTACCTGAATCGTATAACGGAAATTTATAATAAGGTATATGTAAATAATGATATATGTACGCACATACATGATATCCAAATGCAATGAGTTTGCTGACATGTTGCTGAAAATTGTTGGCGCAACTAATTAGTTTCGATAAAGTTGAAATAGCATTATGTCTGTCGCGTTGAACTGAATAGGATTCTAATTCTAAAGACGGCAGTTTAAAGGCAACTAATTGTCATCAATGTACTATCCGCAGCTAACAGCATGTTTACAGCAATATGATAGCGAATAATGTGCCAAATAATGAACGCTATATATGCTATATCAAGATGCTATCAATTTTGCCATTATCAAAGTTAGAATTTACATGAGAGCAACATTTCACACATAATAAGAAAGTACCCTGTCCCTAGTTTGTCAATATCTGTTGCTGCAACGGTTGACAGCAACATAATGGCATCTTGAACTCATTTGGCACAAATTCAAGCTGCCATAATGTTGTTGCCATGATGGAATTAAAATTCCATCGTGACATGGGTATTTTCATATCAAAGCCCAACTTTAGGGGCTTCACAGATGAAATGGCAAAATGCTGCACTCCTTATATTCTTTCCCAGATGTTTTTTACTTATGATCAAGTTATTGCATCTTCGCTGTGATCCTCTGTCAGATATTAATCAAAGCCATCGTAGTTTATTGCTAACAAAATGCTATCACGAAAATCACTCACCCGCGAGCATTATGCATCTCCACTGACAGATGGTCACTGTGGAAATGCATTAACTCGTAAGTAAGAATCAGCTGAGAAAGAATATAAAGAGTGCAGCATTTCGCCTGTAAAATGAGCCGCCAAATTTGGGTTTTAATATGAAAGTACCTATACCACGATAGAATTTTAATTCCATCATAACAGCAACATGATGGCATCTTAAATTCATGTCAAATGAATTCAAGATGACATCATGTTGCTATCAATCATAGCAACAGATGACAAACTAGGAACAAGGTGCTGCCTCATTATGTGTCAAATGTTTTCCTCGTTTGAATTCTAAATTTGACAATGGTAAAGTTGATAGCAACTTGAGGGCATCACTTCGTTATACATACAGCATATGTAACATTCAGTATTCGGCACATTTTGCTGTCATGATGTTGTAAACCTGCTGTTAGCTGCGGATAGCATACTGATGATAACAGGTTACCTTCAAATTGCCGTCGTTAGAATTAGAATTCTATATTCGTGACAAATGATGTCTCACCTTATTCCGAGTTTATCGAAATTAGTTGCTCCAACGATTTTCGAAAATATATCAGCAAATTCGCTGCATTTGGCTATCTGGGTTAAAACAAAAGACATTAGAACAAGGTGTGAGTCATTTGTCTATGGTATGACATCACGTAAATTCAACATGTGTTGCTGCTTGTCGTGTATTTGCTGTCAACGATTTATCGCTGTACATAAAAAGCAACATGATAGCAAGTTACCAACAACACGTACCTAGTCATAAATTTCAGTAAAAATGATTGAATTTTACAGGAAACAACACCATCTAGCGGCAGTCTTATAAATTTATAATATTATGATGTTAAGAAATTGTTTACAAGGTACAAGAAACTTCAACAATATTCAGCAAATATTCTGCAACATGTGTAAAACGTTAGATATTATACGTACTATCAGTTTGCCGTTATGTTACCGATATGACTGTATGTGAAATTCGAGTTCATCGCTTGCCTTAATTTTGCTATCGATATAATGCGTTATTAATCTTCAATGTTTGCTCTTGAAATTCATAAACTGATTGTTTTTTTCCTGTTACCGTCATGTTTCTTCTACGTTACCGAAAATGAATGAAAAATCAAAAAGTTTTTCATAAATGGAAGTCATTTTATTGACAACAAAATGAGCAACAATTACTCTCCGTTTGCTCTGAATCTGCTGACACGAAATGTTTCAAATCTGCCCAAGTGTTATTAAATACGTATGATTATACATTACGGTTTTAGCAAATACACAACAACTAGTGGAAAACTCGCGCTCAGTATTAAATTGCATGATTTTGCAAAACATACTTGGCTATAAGGAATTTTAGTTTCAGTAGCAGTTTCAGTAGCAGAAACCCATCTTTTCCTCTAATTGTATCTAAGTTATGAAATAAAAAAAATAATGTAAAGCTTCTTTTCGATAATGACTTACTTCGTAAACGGCTAAATCGATGCCGGCATATGGCAGTATTCCTATCAAATTAGGTATGTAGCCTCTGTAGAAGGATTTCAAACCACCCTGTCTATATATTTTCTTGGCTGCGTCAACCATGCCATCAAATTCCCCCGTTTTTCGCAATGCGAGCCTTGTCTTCAACACCTGCAAGTTTATTTATACTTTTACTCACATATATATCTGTACTTTATTCTACGCTACACAAATAATTTCTCATTATATATAACCCAATGTTTATTAAAGAACAGATTGAAAGCACCTTATTAATCATTATTTGGTAACAATTAAAAAAAAATTTCTGTGCGTATTATTTACATTAAAACATAACGATAAGAAGTATAATATAAAAAAATTCATGTATCAATCTGATATTATGTAATAATCCAATAAGGAAGTATAAATCACAAGGTAAATCGTACCTCGAGGGGATAGATGGCTGATTGACTGATACCACCAGCCATAGAGCCGGCACAAAATCGCTCGTAGAGTCCGAGTTCGCGCGCCTCATTATCCGCCTTGATGGCCCGCTTCACTTGCTCGTACGCCATAAACTTGAGCGCTGTCTCCGGGCCAATCTTGAGCACGTTAATGCCATTACCGCGCCATAGGCTGCTAATGCCACCCTCGCGCAACATGTACCTGAAGCAACTCATGATATTGCAGTGTCGTGTGCCGTGGACCTGCAAGGACGATTGGACGATTCTCTCATCGTATTAAAACAAACTAGACAAAACTCGCTCGCTCGACATGTCATCATAAGCGAATCGTTTCGTAAAATGCGTAAGAATAATGTGATTTTGGAAATTTCATTATTTAATCTATATGCTGTAGATTACATTATATATACATATGTGTAAAACCTGTTTCTAATATCTAGATTACGTTATGTTTTTGTAAATTATACGTATATAATGTAATAAAAAAAAAAAAAAATATATATATATATATATAAGTAAATTTACTAATAATAAATTTACAACTTTCTGAATCTCCTAAGTTGAAGGAAAATCATGCAAATGCTTACTTGTAGATAGACCTTGATACGATCTAGGGGCGCAGTGCAAGTACGTGATACGGCACCTGCTATTCCGCCAGATACTAAATGTCGCCACCACATTCCGGACACCATCTCACCCTTCGTGAACTCTTCGGGGACGCCGATGTCCTCTCCGATATCCATATACTGTAAATAAAAAAGAAGTTACAGTACAGATTAGTATATAGAATTTCATCAACTGTCTACTTTTTTATTTCACTAAGGAGTCAATCAATGTAACTTCTGATAGAGGCTCAAGTAACATTATCACATCTCTATGAGTATATTATCACACATATAAATGACACATTATCACATATATGTCAAATATAAAGTGACGTTATGGTACATACATTCATGTAAAGGAGAAAATTAAAAGAGTCAATTGTTCAAAAAAGTGTAAATAAAATAAGTGTTTTTTTTTTTTGGATTTCGACTTTCTAGATGAGATAAAATTACTAAAAATTTTGTAGGTAACATCTCGAAAATTGAGTATGAACATAGTACATTTATCCAAGTATCAACATTCTTGTCCCATTTTTAAAGTGTTCCCCAAACCACAAACTTTTTAATAAGCTTATCGTATCCAAGAGATCAAAAGAAGATCAAAACACTTTTTTTTTTACTTATACACCTTTTTGGGCAAAAATCAGTCTTTTTTTAGAGAATGTTAAAAAAGGGCTCAAAAAGAGATGTCAGTAAAAGAAAGTGTGTTTTTGAATATTTTGACTTTCTGGATACAATAAAATTATTAAAAAGTTCATGACGTTTAGGGAATGTCTCGAAAATTGGGCAAAAACAAACACTCAATTTGTTAAGTGTTCCTCAAACGGTACGATTTTTAAAATAATTTTATCATATATGCAGAAGGTCAAAACCTAAAAAAAAAAAAACATTTTTTACATACTTATACTTTTTTGAAAAAAATCGGCACTTTTTTTAATATCCTTTATTCGATGAATAAATTTTGTTTCACATTTTGCGAAATAAAAACTTAATTCTACATAAATTTGTCAGCTTATACTAATGAAAATACTAATAAAAATTAAAAAGTACATTAATAAAATATTCATAAAAAACAAGCCTTTCTCCCAGAATTAATATTAGTTGTCCTTAATAATGAACCGTAAATAGTATTTAATTAATATAATTATATAAATATATGTATATTTAATCTACATTTAATCTGTCCAACGATTATTTATGATAATAATTTAAGAGTACACAGTTATTTGTAAATTTGTTGTCAAAAATATTTGCGTCATTTTCATTTATAAATTTATTATCCTTTATATCAATTGGGAATTCATAGAATTTCTATTTTTATAAATATTTTTTTTATCTGTTTTCGAGCAATTATGGCTACCCGCTGATATTTACTGCTAAGGTCTGTTGCTGAACTAGAACTTTTGGAACTTAAAGTAAAATAGGTATGTATTTGATATTTTTGTCGAAAGCGAGAAAGAGAGTTCTAGTACAGTCTAGTGTAAGAACAAACCACTAGTATGTTGAAAATTTACAGTGCACGTAACGTACATATGTTATACATTTTCGGTATTGATAGTGAATATCAAAACTTCTCTTTATCTGATCCTTAATCCAAACATCGATCGACTAGATGATAAGATTATTGTCGATTATCTTTTTCTTAAACCCTCACACACGCGTACATACCGTATATATATACATATATATGAATCGCTTGGATTGCTTATCGTAGCAGAGGTAAAGTTATTATACTGCTGCGTTTCGACGAAGGTAATCAGATCCCCCCCCGTGTACAATGGCACTATTGCGTTACAAACATTCTTTTACAAAACTAATGCGTGTTGTAATTCAAAGCCTAGTGTATCGGACCCGCGACTCGACCTTTGTAATAAAAACCATTAATTTAATAATCTTCAAAATGTATTTTTATCTTTATATAAAGATTTCACCAGACATACTTTTAACCTTTTATTCAATTGTTTACCATCTTTCATTTGATTTATAAAATAATATAATTATTTTTATGCAAATATTCAGTATCATTTAAACATTTTATAAGAACAATATTAAAAAACATTATAACTGCTTATGTTACATAACTGCATATTGTACAAATAATAAAATATTTATATTTCTCTCTTCTTTTCCCATCATATAAATTTACAAGCATGAAAATCGAGATCGTTACAGCAGTGCATATATTAACATTATAAATGTTACGTCACATTTATTTTCGAAAACAAAACTTGGATTCTATTATAGTGTAATTTTGTCTTTTTATATTCTCTCTTTAATTAATATTTATTTATTATAATATGCAACTAATAGACAGAATATTTTAAAATAAGTAGTCATTTTTTTATTTAAACGGAAACAGATAAAGAATATATAGATAAAGCGCTTTTATAAGTCATAGTTAAAGCTCGCATTATAGAGTTCAATTTAAGCTATTGCATTTGAAGTTTTGTTTGTTTGGTCTACCTCCTTTAACTAATCTCGCAGTCATAACCTGTGACGTAATAATTTTGCGAAATCACGATCGGGCCTGTTACTCGCAGGAAGACGATGAAACATTATTGAAGTATTCTCGGTACAATAATACGTGATATCGTAATTTAGTAAAATATTCCAAGTAAAGTGATACTCGCGAATCGTCGAACGATAAAGTCCACTGCGAACTAAAAAGATTCCCCAGCATTTCTTGGCCCGACTGGGCGACGAGCCAGCCAGTCTACAGATACAATATTCTAGGCCTGTTCCTTCTGAAGCTACAATTTTCTCAAAATAAAGCTGATGTATCGTTTTATAAGTAAAATTAGAAGAATAGAACCAATTTAAATGGCAGAAAATGGATTAAGATAATAAAATCTAATATTGGCTCTAATAACAGTATTAGGGCCATGGCACACGGAAAAACTTGTGCAATAAGACATAAGCAGTGAGGCAGTATTGGAATTTATTTGCAACTTTTAGCCAATTTTCAGCTTGGTTCCCGCCCCTTACCTCACTAACCCGTCAACGGCAGTTTAAATGCCGATCGGCATTAGAAATCTAAATAGATTTCAACCATTTCGCTTACGTACTCTACGTACTTATTACAGCTACAAGTGATTGAGCGATCAATATCGAATTAACATCGATTTGACGTCGAGTGTTGTTGAATCAACATTGATTTGACGTAGATCGATCAATCATTTCTGGCTGGATCGGAATACCAAATGGAAAAGGTTACTCTCGACGTGTCTACAGCCTCTACTGCTACTGTTCATTGGGGTAGCACCCAGTTGGACACGGCTCAATTGGACACGAGCCACTCACAGCGCTTGAGACTACAAAGCTCCTAAGCACCGGTCGCTGTGATTGGTGGTGCCCAATCGAGCCGTGGTCAATCGGGATCACCCCGTTCATTGTAGACGACGCTTTACAATTACTATGACGGAAAGTAAAGAAGTTAACATGTTGGATTTGCTACTGCTTACATTATAGTCTTACGGTTTCTACTGAATTGGCCAATTCACTTAGATAGCTTTTATTTTAAGTTTTTTTTTGTCTATCATGGTCCTGATACAGAAAAAAGTGCGAAAAACAGTATTAACAAAATAAAATGGAAGTTATAAGAACAGATCAATAAATAAAAATTAAGTAGATGAAAAGTAAACTGTATCGCTATATATATCTATCGGTATCTACAATTTAATTAAGTAAAAATAATGGATAATAGGTGTATCATATTTAACTGCATGCATACTTGACGAGTTTTCAACTTTGAGATATATATATATATAAAATGTATACACGAAAATATAGTTGAATACATGTAAAAGCTCAAGAGACGAATTCTCGAGATTCACATTCCAGAATTACTTTCGCTTTCTAACGCTGTCCTTGCATCGCACACCTGACGCTTTCTTTTTCCATTCGGAACAGATATACCTTAATAAACTTGGACCTCAATTGGCTGCCTGATCGGTAATAATCCCTTGCCGCTTCACTTACTCACCCGTTGTAAGAGTTCATGATAGCGCTGCAAAAATTCTTCGCGTACTTGACACGCGGACAAGGTGCTATCGTGCTGGAGAAATCTCCGTTTCTTCAGGACATACATGTTGCGATCAATCAAATGTAATCGCGAATCATGTGGTCGCGCACAAGCTCGTCGCATGAAGTCGGCCGCACTGCTCGCTCTCACTTTGAAGTAACTTTTTCCTATATTTCTCTTTCCTTTTATCTTCTCTTTAGCTCTTTCGAGATACTTCTCTTCCTTTCAGTTTGTTCTATTCTTCTCCCCTTCGCTTCCAATTATTTCCACTTATTTCCCTTTTTTTCTCTTGTTTTTCTTGTTTCATCCAATACGTCTCGATATTTCTCTAAAAAAGAAATCTTCCGTTTTATTTTATTATATCATTCAATTGTATCTTTCACTTCGTTTTACATGTAACTTTTTTCGCATCATTCAATTTCCTTTCAGCTTTTATAACATTTAACTATATATGTATACTCATTGATATGTTTTTGAGTTACGTGGCTTTAAAAATCACACTTCGTGAAGTCAGCTGTGCTTACATGTCGTGTCTCACTGCACTTTCGCGACTTTCGAACTTTCTATCTCAGCGAGGTGTCCGCGTTGATTTGGATTGCGCAAATTCTCGAGAATTCTCCTTCTCGGTCTCCTCAGTATCTTTAGATCCATAGAAATTACTCGAGATAATCTGCCTGTCTAAAAACGACAATAACCGATCGTGTGACTAAACGATAATTGGAAGAAATTCCACGATGAGTTGCACGTGGTAGAGTGTATCGCTCAGGTGAGATGTTCTTGAACGTGAGAGAGCGAGAGGGAGAGATAAAGAAGAGAGGAAACGAGCTACGAACCGGTGATTCGACCGCTCGGAGTCCGGTTGCGAGACTGACAAAACGAATGAACACGAGGAAGGAAAACCCTGGGATACGAAGATATCCCCTCTAAAGCGTGTAACGTCTCCTACTTCTCTGCTAGTCTGCCTTCCCCCCGCCTTCCCCCCCCTTTCTTCTTGTCATCATTCATTCTCAACGTCAGAGACACGCGTCATCGAGACAAATACCCCGTGCGATGACGATCAAAGTCGGCGACCGTTGCGTGCGCACAGTGCAAAGTTTACCTACAAGAATCCCGACAATAGAATAAATATATTAAGTTTAAATTGCATTTTACATTTTGATTCTTTGTATCTATGCATAGTAAATATATAATATTAATTGTATAATTGTCATATAAAACATAAATTGATTAAGATTGTACAGTTGTATATACTTACATAATACACAGACGTTATTGATTATTATATTCTTATTAATGTTGTTGCTGTTAATAATCATTATTAATTGGTAATAATCATAATCATTATTAATCGGTTTTACTCCTCTATTATATATTATTCAGCAATTATTATTGATATACTACGCTATTTTCTAATATTATATTACTAATTTTTACTATCATTATTAATAATAAAATTATGTATCAGTACTCAAATACTTAATACATAATATAATACATATTTCATTATCAGCACTAAATATTAATAATATTAAATATTATTAATAATAATTAGATCTGCGCATTAGCGTATGAAATTTATAAAAATATCTATAAACGTTTATCTAGAAATTATAACAATTTCTAATATTTACATCTATGTGTGAACAATATGAAAATAAAATATATTTGCAGAGCCGTAAAATACATCTTACGATTTGAAGTTGGACAATGTTGACGTGGCGTGAAAAACAGCTGATGAAACATTGGACAGAGAATTTCGTAAGATAAATTTATTGAAAATTCGACTTTCATAAAATCCAGCAAAAAATTTTGAGATATATTTCGTGAAACGTCAGTGCTTATTAAAGTTGAAAATCTTGAGTATGTATATAAATATATGTATATACATTATACATATATGATACAGCATGAAATCATATATAGGGTGTCTCAGAATTTAACGGATTGAATCTTTTAAAAATAGTAATTATAATGTGAATATACATACGAAATGAACACATTCGACCTTTTCACACACACGAAATATACACTTTTATATTTTTGTACACTGGAAAATTCGTTGTTTCGCTTCAATATTTGTTTATAACTTTGTAATACATTTCTAACCAAATTCCATATACAATATCTTTTCCTTATTTCCACTGTAGAATATGCTCCTGCAATTTGTCCGTTAAATCCTAATACACCCTATATATAGCAAAATAAGAGACGAAATAAATTATCCATTATATGTTCGAATATATACAGTGTCCCATTTTAATTGCCCCAAGCAAATATCTCGAAAAATATGTAAGATATGGAAAAACGTTTCAGACAAAAGTTTTAAGATTCAAAAGGGACATAAAAGAATATCATTGGTTTGACTTTGGATGACGTCGTTAAGATCGGGTCAAGGTCACTTTGAATTTTTAAATGAAATCCCCCTTTTTCATTACATATTCTCGCAGCTTATTTCGGGAGCTTTTCAAAGCATAATAATATTTGTTTTCAATATTAAATATTAAATCTGATAGTGTATATGTGAGAACACAATCAATAGGGAATCCTGCTGATTTAGTCCTGCTAGCTTTATAGAACTAATAGAGAATAAATGCCTTTAACGGTTCAGCTTGATCTTAATAAGTGCTTATATAATTCTATGTGAATTTATGTACTACGTATGTAATCCTTTAAACTACGCGCCGAAATGATTTTTCGGTCTTGAAACGCAAACTCTACTAAACTACCGCAGTAATATCACGAGTTAAATTGACTAGCAATTTAACAATTCGATGCTCTTACGCATCTTACAACTTGTTACATCTTAATAGTGCTGAATGACATATTATCTGTAAATAATTCTTATTGCAAAAAATATTACCTCGATTGGAAATCGAACCCGGATATGTAGCATTTCGTGCGAGCATCCAGATCATCGAGATTGTGTAACAATTACTTTTTTCCTCTTTTAGATTCGAAAATCCTTTTCCAGAATCAAAATATACGTGTTTGTGAAGTGGAATTTATGCCGAGAACGTAAAAAAAAATTCAAAATTGATATTTTTACCATTTCTTAGTCCAATATGGCGCTCTAGAGCTATCATATCGTGACAACATTTGCTTCGTATAATAGCTGTTCAATGTGTACTTACGAAATAGTAGTCTACAGACTAGTAGGTTGCACGAAGTTACAACGTGGAGTTCTTAGAATTAAACTTAGACATCTAATTAAAACGTTATTGTTATAAAATTTATGTGTACGTGTGGCACGCGTGAGTGAGATATTGGTAGTAGTAATATGTCAATGATACATAAATGATCTGTGTGTCAAGTCCTACTTACGCTATGACTAATCGTCTTTAAGACCCCCTTAGTATTTTTCAAGTTATAAGGCTTGAAAGTTTACACAGTATCGCTGACATAACATTACTCAAGGTATCCGACTAATGACTAAATGACCTCTTGAATGTTGTTCAGGATCATGATCTATATTTTTCAAGATCAAGGCCATTGGAAGATTCTCTTATTTTCATTTTTATGTAAAAATCTATTTTTAGTGCAAAAATAAAAATAAAAGGAACAATTACCTCCAATGATCTTAATCTTGACAAATGTTATCTAGGTTATGATTTTAAACAACATTCAAGAAGTTTTAGCCGTCGGTCAGTCACCTTTGGTAGTGCTAATGTTAGCGGTACTGTAACTTTCAAGTCTTAGAACTCAAAAAGTACTTAACGAAAAAATATTTTATTATGATATTTTAAAAAACTCAAGATAAGATGAGAATATATAAAAATAGAGGATTCCATTTTGAAAATTCAAAGTAATCTTGACCTGACCTTGGCGACGCAACTCAAGATCAAACCAATGGTACCCTCTTATGTCCGCCTTCAAACCTTACAACTGTTGTCTGAAACGTTTTTTCGTATCTTCCGTATTTTTCAAGATATTTGCCTGGAGCAATTAAAATGGGACATGTGCGTGCGTGCGTGTGTGTGTTGTACGTTAGCTATTTAATAAATATTACGGGCCAAATATTCACAAGTACCCGTATATTTCCGTAAATATTCAAGTAATACTGGAATACATAATATAAGTGATACAACATTCGAATAATACATGCATCTGATATTACTAACTATGACTAGAATTAATTAAATTTATTTATATTTTTATCATTATCAGAATTAATTAAATTTATTTATATCTTTATCATTGTTATATTTTACGCAAATCAGTACTAGCGCTGACTCCTAATAGCTTCGATTTTATATTTATCTTATTCTATGAATTATAAAGGAGTCCCTAAAATAGTTATTTCTTAAAATAATTATTTCTATTATTTATTGTTACTAATTGTAATGTTATACATTTTTTATTAATCTAAAAAAATTGAACTATATATGAAATACTCACCGTGGTATGATGCCAGTATTCTATAATATCGAGCAAGGTAGTACTTGGTGCATAGAGAAGAAAGTCCCGCCATTCGTTGAAACTAATGTTAAGACTTCCATCTTGATCCATACTATGCAGATATATATATATATATATAATTATTTATTGGGTTAATCTTAGTCTCTGCATCGCAATGAAACTTTATATTATATATTATAAATTATCTTGAATGTAAATTTAAAGTATTTAAATAAAAAGTTCAGATTTTTTTCATTATCTCTTAATATTTTCATTAGAACACACATCTACTTATTGAAATAACTTTTTATCCACATGTAAAAAATCGCCGCTAAATTTCTTCTACTGCTTTTAAAAGAGCAATATAAAACAATTTTTAATTTTTTCATAACTTTTTGAATGTTTTGAAATAGATTCAATACATTCTTAAATAAAATTCTTATATTAACATTTCATAAACACATTTCATAAGCACATTGTAGAATGCGTATGTATGATAGCTTCAAAAATATTATTTAATAACGAGTTTTCAGTATATATTTGATGTTTTAAAATCTTTATGATAAATACAATAACATAGTTTACTTAACAATTTATTTAATTATGTTTAATCAATAATTAATATGTACATTTCAGTATTTTAAATAATTTCAAAAAATTGATAATTTATTTCCAGATTCCGAGGTTCCAGCTTCTACATTTAAACCCTGGCTGAAGTGATTTTTTCGTATGTAAATAAATGTTTTTAAAATGTTTTTAGCAACGTTATTAAATTAATGATTAATGTAATTTGTGATATTATTTACAGCTCAGTTTATGATTGTGTTCAAGTCCGACAAACTGAATCGATACGCAGTTTAAAGAAAAATACATTAAAAAATTTTACATTGAACATTATCAAGCACCAAGATTTGTTCCAAGTGAAAATGAGAGAGATTTTTTTCTATTACTTAATAATTTATTAATAAAGCTTTACCGTTGTAATAATTTTGTTGCTTCCTCCTGCGTCATTTCTATTCCCAGCTCCTTGAAAGCCCTTATCAATTCTTCTAAATCTATCTTTCCTGCGAATGGTATATAAAGTATGTTTAAGTCTCTACATTGTTTTATATGTTAAATAACAAATAAATATAATGATAAATTACATGATGGATAAATTACAATGTATTAAATACATTATTAGATTTTATTTTAAAAAAAAAAGTATATTTTGCAATCTTAAATTTTGATTCGGAGAATGTTTTTAATCTCAAATTTATAAATTTTTTTTTAATTAATTAATTGTAATTAAAACTGTAATACTAAAATGTATGCTTACCATCTTTATTTTTATCAAGATGGGAGAATTGCAATCGCAAATTTTTCTCATGTTCGCGAACATAGTGTAGAAATTCAGCTAAGCTTATATCGCCACTTTTAGTACGGTCCGATCTGGCCAGAAATTTCTATAAAATCGAAAGAATTATTCTTCAGATATATGCAAACATTTACATTAATTTAACATAAAAGGTACTGATTAAAAAATTCAATTTATATATTGTAAGATATTCCAGAGAACATTATGACATCTTGAAAATATCTGAGAAATATATGTTTTAAAGTTTATATAATTATTTTTAGCAAGTAAAAGATTTATATACAGGATGAGTCTGATAAAAAGGTGACCACATTCTTTACAAAAACGGTTAGAGATAGGGGGAAGAGGGAAGACACCCATCATAAAAATTATAGAATAATTAGTACAGGGATATACTTTAATCATTTTGATTAATTCTTAAATATACTTCGCTTTTTTTACTCTACCAATAGTTTTTTTTTTAATAGGAAGGGGTACTTTTTAGTCATTTCATTGAAGTACTCAATGAGCTGAACATCTTTGTATTAGAATATTTTTTTCGAAAATTCAGAAACTAAACTATTTTTAGAAACTAAACTAAAAAAAGTCAGACTATATTGAAACAAATTTTTCTATTATTATAATAAATGTTCAAAATGTTCACTATGTTGATCTAAATCTAAGCCTGCAGTCAGTATCTGTGGAAAGCTTGCTTGGATTTCTTCTAACTCTTAAATCGTTATTTCGCGAAAAATTTTTTATTCTTTCTATTATATTTCAGGAAGTAGAAAGTTGAAAGTAATTACTCTCCTTCCTTCATGATTGAAAGTTAGAAGCTTTCCATGAAGATTATGAACATGTTTCGATCAATATAGTAAACATTTTAAACATTTATTGCAACAATAAAATTTGTTTCAAACTTATAGTCTAATAGCGAATTCGGTTGGACACACTAGTGTATATTAAAGCTGTTGTACACTCATTTAAATCGTGTAGAAAATTCAAATATTTCGAATTATAAAATACAGATCCTACTTAACAGCAGAATAAAATGTATTGGGGATTTCATAATTTAATCCGTTTCTGTATTTATATTAAACATACATTTTTCATCAATTTGTGTACGATGGCTGTAATGTTTACCAAGGCGCATTGCAAGTGCATCCAATCGAATTTGCTATAATTTCTTTTAGCTTATAATTCCTAAAAATATTTGAATTTTTTTAAAAATACTGTAATATAAAGATATTCAGCTCATTAAGTTACTACGATAAAGTGATCCAAAATTACTCCATCCCATTAAAAACATTTTTTTTACTGGCAAAGAAAGGATATTTAAGGTTATTTATATATATATATATATAAGACCGAACTGACATTACCTTATCCACCCAAAAAAACCTTGAGGCTTACTTAAAAAAAATCCAAAATTTATAGATTTTTTAGGTTTTATTGGAATTATAGAAAAATAAATTTTTAATCGGAAACAAATAAAAGGAATATATTTATAAATATTTAATAAATATATGTATACTGACTAATTGAACTGATAATTTAATCAGTATTTTGTTTAATATCCAAATAAATGTTAATATATAATTCATAATGTGTTTATAGTGTCATTATTTCTTCCTTTGTATCATTATAAAAGTTTTTGTAACAATATATCTGAAATTCGTCATTAATATTTTTACAAAAATATTCTCATATAATTAATTTTATTGGAATATATAACTAAATAATAATAAATACAACGTAAATTAAATTATACCCTACTTATCTTACAATTTTGATGAATATGTATTTTCCCCCTATTTCTAATTATTTTTGAGGAAAACATAGTAAACTTTTTATCAGACACCCTGCTTGTATGTATATATGTTATTAATAATGTAAGATATTTCGTAATTTATATAATAAAATGCATTCATGTAATATAAAATAGAACTTTATTACTTTTCAGCTTACAACTGCCAAGAGACTTAGTTTACAATAAATACTTTAATCACACTTATCCTGCCACGCTGCAAAAGACCTGATACTATTTGATACTATTTGACTCTACATTTCTTATTCGCAGCATATACCTTATTCCTAACTTTCTACTCATTCCTAAGTATCTGCGCTACTTTATCCTTATCACAGCTCAATATATCACAGTACAAATTCCTCTATTTATCCTATTATATATATATATATATATAAACAATGTGATATAAAATATTCTTTTTATATAAATATTTTTTCGTTTTCAAATACTAAATTAATGAAAATTCAAAGACTCGCAATTCCTCTAAAATTTTAAGTTTCAAAATTTCACTGCAGAAATCTAAATCAGAAAAATCGATAAAATATCAAACGCATAAAATAAGTAAGAAGGTTCCATTATCTAAAATTTATACCAGAAATTTTCTTAAATTCCAAGAATAGCAATTCCAAGATTTGGAGATTTTACAAATCGCTAAATTGAAAAAAATCTTGAAACTCGACAAAGAGAGAATGTTAAGAGAATATAATCGATAAGAGGGTTGCTGTACCTACGATTCCAAAAATTGCAATTTTTGGAATCGTATATCGATGTCGTGAATTCGGGATTTTAAATTGTAAAAATCAAGAGTTTCAAAAGAGTATAATCAGATTTAGATATAATGTGCCTAACCCTAAAAAACGCTTTTACCCAGAAGATAGTTACTTTCCATTTACAATGATTCTCAGACAATTTTTGTAACAATTCATAACTCAGTTAAATGCGCGTTCCTTTTGCATTCTTACAAGTGAGATTCAACTGAGTTTTTACCTACAATCTGCACAAGATCGAAACCGAGTCTCGTAAACCTACTTTAAAAGTGAGGTTATAAACTTACGGTGTTGTCAGTTGTCATGTGATAATAAGTTTTTATCAAAGCAAGCAAGTAGTGACATCATTATACTGAATATGAAATACTCGGCTTACTTCAGACTCATCTCAGTTTTCATTTTCGTTTAAATGGAAAGCAACTAATGATGTCTACTATACCTGTAAATATAGACCTTTAAATCTATTCATTTTAAATGCTCTTTCTACACTCTGCTAATAAATGTTCTTCCAATTCTTCAAAATGTTTTCTTTCATTTTTCCTATATTTTTTATGTTTCATAAATACAAGAAAATAAATTAACTCTAGAGATAATTTAAAAAATTGAATATCCCTTTTCTTTAATACTAATCATTTCTTTGTTAGTAATCCAATAAACTCAAATCTAATTTTATTTGTGCTCCAGTCCTTTTCTCTGTCTTCCTTTGGCACATATATATACTCCATTCTATGTGCAAAAAACAATATACATATATAATTAACTAGAGATTCAAATCCTCATCTCCATAACAATCAATGAAAACAGTATTGAATTTTGTTAAACAAAAAAATAATATATAAAAGAATATACATTTTAATGGAATACATTTCAAACACCTCTATAAGAGTTGACAAGTGCAAAAACTATCATAGCAGAGATGTCACAAGTGATATCCAATCACAGTATCGTTTAAAAGAATCCAGAAGCTTATTTCCTCGATATTGGTGAAGTGAGCGAGGATAGAAATGATGAATATGGGTTTAATAAATACCTGGGCATACTGAGTGTGCACGCCGGCATCGCGCAGCGCCTGCGACAGATCGTGAACGTCAATACGACCGTTGCCATCGAGGTCGAGGCGCTGGAACAAACTCTCCAGCCGTTCCTCGTCCTGAGCCGGCAGCTCGTGCAGATAGTGCGCCGGCGGCGGCTTGACGACCGCGCGCGCCGCCGGCGACGCGCTTATACGCGCACCGCCGCCGTTCCCCGGCATATGCAGGCGCGACGTTACCCTGCGCTACACTACGCGACACGACGCGAAAGCCAGATAAGACGAGACACCCACCCGATCAGTCCCTGATCGGCGGACCGCGAACGTCGCGGTACGAAGCAAAGCGAGCCGTGCTGCGGTAAAGCGTATACATGTATGTATATGTGCTGTGTTTGTGTGTGAGGGCGTTTTGTATGGTGTGTGTGTGTGTGTATCATGTATATACATATCAAGTATAGTATACGTGCTTCGATCATACCGCGACGCACGCAATACCGTCCGCACCGCTGATAGTGGATGCTGGTTGGCTAGAAAATGCGCGCGCACATATGCAGCAAGGCTCAGGGTGAATACCCATGCAGCGGAATAGCGTACGGGTGGAGTCCTATGAAGCGTAACCGCGTAACCAATCAATAATCAGTAAAACGCGGAACCACAACAGCGGATCGCTTCTGATTGGTTACGCGGTAAATACACCTCATGGGTATCCAGCCTAACGCGGAACGAGAGCGTAATGCTGG